TGACATTACATCATAGAAATCACCCACTGTCTCACATGTGGAGCCGTCTCACATCCGGTACATCTCCCCTACCCTTTGATATGATGAGAACGAGATTCGCATATGTATATATGAAACCGACGCCCACTGTTTCAAATAAGTTCAACGATTCAAGAGTTCTTTTCCATTGACATTTTTTTTTTCGCTTCGTATTTCCATTTTGCATTTCATTAGTTATTTTTTTCTTGGGTTTTTTTTATGTCTCTCTCTCTCTCTCTCTCTCTCTCTCTCTCTCTTCTCTTTGACTCTTCGTCGCTTTGATGATTTTGTTCCTTTCATTTCTTGTGCGTGTGATCTGGGCCTTGTCAACTATTCAAAACTAAATGGTCCGATTGTATGGACTATATTGTGATAGTTGATTGGGGTTTATGTAAACACATTCGAACCTGTCTCCAAAGCAACTTGTCCAAAATATCGCCATCACATGAGTACCTAACATTCGGTGAGAATTCGGTTTTCTAAGCTTTGTTTATTGCTCAAAAGAAAACAAAATAATCAGCGCGATACACCTTCAACCTATCATAGAATCGTTTTTATTCTCAAATTTGAGAAGCTGAGGGAGGGAGAGAACTAGAGATACAGAGAAGAAGTGGAAAGAAGATCATTACTATGTCAATCGGAAATGAATCAATCAACAATCAAAGTTTATTTGATTTCGAATTGAATAGGCCGATGACATTTGCATATGTTCTATGCGGCAGATAAAGAGCGATGTATGTCACAATCAGAGTGCGCGCGTGAAAGACGTTACCAATCATTTTAAATTAAAAATCTTCGAGTATAATGGCAAATGGTATTGCGTTACCGATCTCGTTAATTTGGTGATTAAGTGTGCACCACACCACTTAAGGCCACATATGTGTATCACGTTTATGGCATACATTAATTTCTGCTAATCTAGTGACATTTTGATTGATAGATATAAGTCAAGTGAATATAAAATCGTACATTATAGTGCACATTTCATGGATAAAACACTCTTGTCACTGTGTCAACCAAATGTTCAATCCACATCGTAAATCATAATGCAGACAAACCAGATATCAAATATCAAAATGTGATTGACCGAGTGGAATACTATAGGTCGTTGAAAATTTCCATTAAAATTTAATAGAAAAAAAATTATCGATTTGGTTTTTATTTGGTGTATTCGGTTTATTCCAACGGGTTCGCAACTATTCTATTGTATGGCGTGATGATAATGAACTGATTTGGTCATTCCGAACGAAGAAAAATTTGACTATTATGGCAGCTTGTTGCCGGTGACGGTTGCTAAGCCGAATGAAAAGAAACAAAATTAATGATCATCTAGTAAAGTGAAAGTCACTATTATCGATTTTTCAATGTATATGGGATGCCCATCTGAGCGAATTACTTTCGAATCAGCCCGATGTCAACTTGTCACCAACGGTTGATCTAACGTTTTTCTAGACTGCTTCGCGACTGTTCCATCATTTGTTCCAATAATTGCCAATTTTTTGGTTTTTCTTCTTCGCTATTTTTTTTTTATTTTTTTTTTTCATTAATGTTAGGCTGTAACATAACAACTGATAAATGCCATAGCAACGATTATATATTCCGTTTTGTGTGCAAATATTGAGAATGAACCTTATTTAATATGCAAACTATTTTATACTTTATGTTGAACACTTTTTTTATATGCTAATAGAACAACCAAATTTTTTTTTCTGTTATTCGCTTTAATAAAAATGGCCAAAACGGCAAAAGCTGAGTTCACTGTGTTTAATTCAGATCGCTATGTAACAGATTTATCCGATCACCATGAATTCCGTTATATGGAGATAACTACCGAAAAAAAAACGAAAATCGATTTTTAATTAATGATCTGCTCATTCGATGCACCGATTTGTATGTTCAATTGTTCACTGTGCAAAAGAAAATCATGCTCATGAATATGACACTGCCGATGGAGAATGGATATGATGAAGACAAAAAAAAAAATATGAAGGAATTGAATGGCATGCTCCGCACGGCCAATTTACGGCCTGACAAGCAGCATCGTATTGTCAACTCGTGCACCATTGCAATGCAGCGTAAATCATAATTGAATTGTATGCAGAAGTGGGATAAAAAGATTCTACTTTTATAAAATGCATCATGAAAAAGTGCTCTGTAAAATCAGTGCATGCTATCGTTATTTACCTGACCACTGGCACTGTCTACTTCTTAGCATCGGTAGTAACGTAACCGGAAAAAACCTTGACTTTCATATGTTTAAAAAAAAATTACTCGCAATGGATTACTCATTATCGCGATACGTGCCGCTTCAGTTGTGAGTTGCGGTTGGTGGTCAGCCTTTATGGGTTGCAACGTAATGATTGTCTCTATATATATAGTCATGTATACATAGTTAATTTTAATATATTCAGTTGAATGATCAAAATCAGTTCTATTTTTGAAAGCCGCAAAAAAAATGAATAAAAACTCAATGTTAGATGACCATATAAGGCAATCTGTTTAGGGTTCATAATTGATATTCTCACAAGGCAACCGATTTTCTCCGCTTTGATTTTATTCTATTTTTAGTAAAAAAAAAATTTCATGAAGCTGGATGTCAAGATGCTTGCCATTAATCTCATCCGCATAATTTATTCCTAAATATATAGATAAAAACGATTAAGAATTTAACGGAATTCATGGGAGAGAATTAAGTAAAATAAAAGACCGGCCGACTGGCAAATTAGCCAAATTTCTAAAATGATTTCGGAAATTAGTATTTTCGCCAAGATTGAAATCACATCAAAAGTGTACTGATTTGGCATTAAAACCGGTTACTAGTCGCTGCGTTGGGACTTACACTCATTCACTTATTGGTGATATTTGATGTGTTTCCATATTGATTTACAGATAATCGCATGAAGATCTTTCTAAGGCGATTCAATTTATTTTTACCTTTGAAAAACCAACTAAAACATTCGGCTCATTTATTGCTTGTTGTCGCGCGCAAAATGTGCGATTAAAGGCCCACAAGTCACCACTATAAGTATATCAAATGGAACGATTGAGCATTGATTGGTATCGACGCAAATGATACACATTGAAATTAGTTCATTAGGCACCCAATTTTAGAACAAAAGAAGTGGAATTGGTTTCTTCTTCTTTTTCATTGTGTTCGGTTTTGTTGATGTGCCTAGCTCCAACAAGTCCTTTTGACCACTTTTGTCGTTTTCTTTAGCACACCAATTTCTATTCAAATGTTACGTATCAATGCGCATGCTATCAATCACATTTGTTGCGCCACTGTTTGTCACTAGGCGATAAAATTTAAACGAATTAACTTTCTCCATGTATAGACGTGTATAGAGAATATTAAAACCGCATAATAACCGAAATTTCTATGAATTTACATTTCTTTTGACGGTGTTTTTATTTCTCTTCAATGTTTTTGTGAACGAGTCTCCAAGTGCCAAATTGGCTATCATTCCAGTTTTCAGCTGAAATAAGTAGATCGAGATATGGATCAAGATTGGACATCGAATTAGCAAAAGGCACAGGCAGTACATAAGAGCCAATTCAAAAGTCAATCAATTGATGCGCATAAGTAGCGCCACCTCTAATAATTACGGAGAGTTACCATAAGTCGTATGCAATTGATGTTGAGAAAAAGAATGAGAAGAAGTAGACATTCTATTCATTTACATGGCAATAATGGCAATCAGTAGAGATGGTGCTCATGTGCCGATCATATCACTGTTATAACCCTCCGAGAATTAGCTCAAAGAAATTGATTTTTTTTTTCGAAGTATCCTTCCTTATCTTTACTTCTTAGAACAATTAAAAACGATTTTGCCACGGGGAAACTCCGCAATTGTTTGGAATGGCAACCAGCAAATAAACAAAAAGAATGAAAAAAATTTGATCCATAACTCGTATATCAAACTGACTTTATTTATGTGAATACGACTCGTTAGAATATTTAAATTTAAACCAAACGACAAAGAAAGCATGAAGCTTACTCCCGCGCTAAACAACACTACTAAACAGACTATGTCAATTTGGAACAAATTTTCATCAGAAATTTCATATTTACACTGTTGTGCATGGTTGGTTGTTTCGTGGGGGATTATCTTGCCATTATTGTGATCACAGACAATTATGAGAGCAGCAATAAAACATCTGAAAACCAGACGTGAACTTTTTCGCAATGAGAAGAAAAAAAAGAGCAGAAAAGAAATAAAAAAAATTGTAGAGCACCTGTCAACAAAAATTAAATAGTTCAAACTGGACAACATTTAAAATTCGTTTAAATGTTTAAGCTTTTAACAAACGGCTATCAAAAATAAAGAAGATGAATAAACTAGACATAAGAGATAGCAAACTTTGATAGCTCTCCGCTCGAATTTGGTCATTTGTTTGCACAGGTACATTTGTCGATGTCGTTGCCCAGCGATCAAGCGAAGAGAGACCATTAAAAAGATAAAGAATCAATTTTTCAAATGATATATATGAAATATATACGCGCCTTTTTTATGTAGCGCTATGTTCTGAATGCTTCTCGAGTTTCCAGAATATGTACACACGCATACATTCGTATGGCCATAACAGCGACCGAAATCGAATCGTTCAACAAATTTCGGACTAACTCTACTAAGCAGACAGAGATTGGCTCATATTTATTTTATTCAATTTAAGGAATGGTATCAAATTCAAGTATTTGTCATACAAAGAAGTATACTTTTCGTATTTGTATTGTTGTTTCTTTTTGGAGATCTTCGTGTATTGCTGATAATATGGTCGATTCACACATCCGCACGAATGATACCAAACCGATACCGCACACATGAAGCACGACACGAACGCGCTCAAAGCAATCACACAACGAACGATGGAAGAAATAATATCAATAATGACAACAATCATAATAGTAATAACAATGGGAGAAGATGAGAAGAGAAGAACGAAAAAAGAGACCGGTATTTTTTGGTAGTTGATACGGCGTGCTACACTAGTGCGGTTGGGAGCTTCGACGCTTATAAAAGCGATGTGTCTAAAACTTCTCGATCATTAGACGACTAGGCGTCTCAGTTGTTACGATATTTAAGAACAGCTCCGACAAAAATTTTCGAGACTGTGCTTCTTCATTTGATGAAATAAATTCGTAAAAAACTGAGATATTTAGCAACTATTGATGCATTTTTAATATTTGCCACTAAGCTGGGATTGAAATCCGCGTAGTGAATTTTATTCGGGAAAAGTCGTTAAATTTTCCAATCGTGTGTTCCGTAGACGAAGTCAAAGTGTATTTAAAAGAAATCAAATCGATTGAAAACATATTATCAATCGATTGACAGTTTTGTTCCCGAATCAAAATAAAGAGGAAAATCAACGAAAATTCATCGGAAAAATCATTTCTAAATTGATTTTATACCGCACTTGGAGTTCGTTTTTTTTTTTTTTTTGGCAAATTGCTATCACAGTGAATTTTAACTAAATTCTACCTATTAAAATAATAGTGTGGGTGATTCTCAGTTGAAAGCAAACATATTCTTCTGGAACTCATCCGTCTACTCAATCAAATACATCAGTCATAATTGTGAATAAAGTAAAAAAATAATAATAATAACAATAATGGATAAACAATCAACACTCTTCTGTCTATTTTTCGTGGCCGCTACATTTATCAGCGTGACAGAATCATGTCATGGTGGTTCTCTCATAAGTAAGTAGAAACCACTTTTTTCTGTTTATTTCAATCAAACTGAAAGTAAAATGAATCAAATTAGAAAAGCATTTGTTAGAAACAAGAAAGAAAAGAAAATACATAAACATCAAGCTAAGAAGAGAAAGGAAGAAAACAGTATAAGAATTTAGGCAAGGTTTCTGCCATCCTATCTTATTTCTCAAAAAATATGCAATCCTCGTTGATACACATCATTAATAAATTACCGCATGAACAACGATCAAGTAAGAATTGCCAACCTGCTGACCATTCTTCCCATTCCACTTACACTTTTTTCTCGTTAATATTGTTCAGTGCAGTGTTTTTCGATTGAGTGTGACGATTTCTTGTATTCCTTAATGAAAGAGAAAGAGAGCAAGGGGGAGAAAGAGAGAGAGAGAGAGAGAGAGAGAGAGAGCGAGAGAAAAAAAATAATGAAAAAACGCAAACATTCATGACGATCTACAAGGCCAGCAATAAGAAATAAAATTCAATGTTTCCAAAATCCATAAAGTGAGTACTATATGGTGTCGCTCATGCAAAAAAGATAAGAGAGAGAGAGAGAGAGAGAGAGAGAGAAAAATGGCAAATGTATTGATCGTCGTCGTATTACGTACGAGATGTGTGCTGACCATCGCTGTTCTTTCGATTCGCAATGTAGACGACAAGTAGAAAGACGAACATCAGTATTTTGCTGTTCATTTCACTCTTGCTGATTACATGCTGATGTATTGAACTCGAATATATATAAAATAATTATGGTTTTCCATTTTTTTTTTCTTCATCTCTGCGCTATCTAGAGAAATATCACATGATTTCATTCATTTCCTACGGTATTACTCGATCAAAATATGAGCTGCGTATGTGTAGAAGTAAAGCATTGGAAATCTGTTGTTCTTTTTTTTCGTTCACTAAAATCGAATGAAATATGCAGTTTCGATTCTAAAAAAAATGTTGAATAAGTTCGTGGCCAAGGCCAATGACTTTTATAGTCAAAGTACGTTCGTGTGCTTATTTGTGTATAAAATCGCGTCAAAAGCACAAAAAAAACGAGAAATAGCAACAAAAATCGGCAGAATGTGATTGATTTAACGTTTTCAACATAAATTATCCATCTATTAAATATCTGATCACACACATTTTCTCGTCATTTGCAATAATTGTATTCGACGTAAAATCATGCATGAAACAGGCGACAAGCATTCCGATTAGCTTTGAATGAATGTCCATGTCATGTATTTATTTTATTAAAATGATGATCAACTTTCGAAATTACGTTTGACTGATATGATAAAAGTATTTCAATGCAAATTATTGTGCTAATGTACATGTATATTTATCGTTCTGTTCGATCCTTGTACCCTCGTGTTGAGGCAATTTCGTTTTGCAAAGCAGTGTGTGTATTGTAATTGTTGATTCGAATGTATTTATGAGCTTGTTTCTTCATTGATGCCACAAACAAATAAATAAGCTTCAATTTTCGTGTCTAATTTATGTCATTTAACGCTTAACGCTTAACGTTTGTCACACTGACGAGGAAATATTTGCATATTAAAGAGATAATTTTCATAAATGTCTTTCACATTAAATTTTGACAATTATGTAAGTGTGAGTGTGAGTGTGTGTGTGTGTGTGTGTCGATTACCATTGCCGTTTTCAAAATCCAAACAGAACATAGAGAAACAAATGTATTCAATCGAAATCCAGTTATGGATCAGTCAGGATTAGTTGCCAAGCGAACAACGATCGAATGGAGATGTTCTCATTTCCAAAAATGGTTGTAGTGGGAATACATCTTGTATGCATACAATACAGACGAATTGGCCATTATCATATTTACCTACGTATTTCTATTTGGTCAATTTTGCACCACTCCCGGTCCGAAATACAGTGAACACCAATCGGAACAAGTTAGCAGCTGAAAACAACAACATATTCCGAAAAAACGACGATTCCAAAATGAAAAATTCTATTGACATTCATTTTTTCCACATTTTAAATTGAACGAAAATCGATAACCAACATTCAAATTCGACTGATAGTTCAAAGCTGAAGCAGGCCAAAAAGGAGAAATCGAAAATTTGGCACAACTTTTCGACGTCTCATTCAAATGTACTGAAGTGGAAGAAAAAAAAAATGTCATGAAAGACTTTTTCTCTTAATGACCGGTCACCATTAGAATATTGTGAATTTCTTTAGAATGAAACCTCCAAGTTTTCTATACATAATAGTTTAAACATCACATATTAATTGGCAATTATCATAATCACAGGCAAATGTAGACTTTATCAGTCGATCTTGATGACTCCACGAGAACTGGAGGAAAGAGAAATACGTTTGATTATTTTATTTTATTGACGGCTTTTGATCGGTTTATGCTTTTATAATCCATTTCCAAAATCTATGATCGAAAAAAGTTTCAATTTAAGTTCATGGTCACAGCCGTGCGTGAATGTGTTGAATCTTCACCACAATCACACACACCATGTGTCTGATGAATATCTAGTACGGTTATTAAATGACCGGTGTTCCATGGCCCTATTAGATCTTGATAACATTTTTCTTGCCATGGGTTTGTGTTGTGTTTCTAACTTCTACCGGTTTAGAATTCGTCTTTTTTTTTCTCTATCTCTCTTTCTTAATGGACTATTAGTGTTTATGAAGCAAATTTTTGTGGATTATCTACTTCTCGAATTATGAATTTAATTTCGTTATGATTTAATATAGTTGTATTATTTTTTAGTACAGCGACATCGGTCGATCATAAAAATACAAACGGTGTGTGTTTCGATCGTAAAAATGTTAACTCTTCATGATAATAAAGGCAGAAAGCTGTCATCATCTTTTCGCATCGGATGATGTGATAATCCATAAAAAGAACACCAATAATATATAGCAATCGATGACGAATGACAAACACAGACAAATGTCCAATAGTAGATTATCTATCACTACCAAAATCCATTTTCGAAATTGATCAATAAATAAACATTTATTTAACTTATGCCAACGAACATTAAAACTATAAATAGGACATTATTTGCTTTCCGAAGTGTAATGACTTTCATTTGATTTTGGTTAATCGAGTTAGCAACATTTCACTCGCCTTGAACTTCGTCCACTATTTCCAATCATCTGCATGATCATCGGATCATGAGCAATCCAAATGTGAGCAGAAAATGATTTGCATAAAATCAGTAGGTTTGGATATTTCTAAGAAAAAATAAAGAGTTAAATCAACTTTTTTTGCGATATGCAAGGCATTATGTCGTCTATTGATATTTATGTCGACACATTTTCGATAAAATATTATGTCGGATGTCAGGAAATATTGGGAATGATTTTTTCGAAATTCCTTAAATTATTATCGAAAGATGTTCGTTTCTGTATTGAATGATGCAACCTTCAACTTGAGCAAGTGTATTAGGTCATAGTCTATATTGTTGATACGGCAACAATGTGAAACGACTCAAGATTGTAAACAATGACTCAATTCATTGATTGATCAATCGACCGTTTTTAGGCAGTGTGTATTCGCTCCGATTTAATCACTTCACAAATGAATTTTCTCTTTTACATTTTTAACTTCGTAATTATAACGTGTATTTACTTTGTTATTTAGATATATGCAAATCAAATCAATTAGACTAATTCACTTTTGTAATCGTTTTTTTTTTTTTCGTTTGCAGCAACCGGAATCACAGAAGCTCAAAAGTATGAGATTCTCGAGGCTCATAACCGGCTTCGATCACAAGTTGCACAAGGCCAAGTCCCAGGCCAACCGAGCGCTCAAAATATGCGTGAAATGCATTGGGATGAGGAATTAGCACAAAGAGCACAACAATGGGCTAATCAATGCCACTTTGAACACGACCCAAGCAGAAATACAAGTATGCTTTCTTTCTTCTTTCACTTTCGTTCTTTCTTTCTATTTTGATTCAAAACATCACGGCTATAACACATGTGTTTACCCGCAGACCGTTTCATAATGGGTCAAAACTTGGCAATCGTCTGGAGTACAGTTCCACTACAAAGCTACGTTAGTTTTTCGTCTCGTATCCAAAACTGGTTCAATGAAGTTCAAAAATACGCTTGGGGATCCAGATGGTCATCGAAAACTGGTCATTATTCGCAATTAGTCTGGGGCAACACCAATTTAGTTGGATGTGGCTACTCATACTACCAAGATGGAACCCGTTTCAATAAGCTTTGGGTGTGCAACTACGGACCAGGGTGAGTTTAGTTTATCATAGAAGAGTGCTGTAACAAATTGAGCAAAAAAATTCATATTTTGTTTTTTTTTTTTTCATCCGTTGTTCAGCGGTAACGTTGTCGGCCATCAACCATACGCAGTTGGACCACCATCGTGCACAAGCTATGGTATGCTCCCATCATCAAGATATTCAGGATTGTGTGTTACTACTTCGACTGGATACACCGCAAACAACGAAATTTACACCCAAAATACATACACTATCAAATCGGAACGTATCAATCCAACTGTCTATCAACCAGCTCAAACAAGCCCAAGCTACAGTTCATACACCCAACCACGAACAACTGCCGTCCAAGCATACCAGCAAGCTCTGCAAACGTATCAAAATCCACAACAATCATACAACCAAGCCCAACAAAGCTATCTATCTGCTCTGTCAGCCTACACTCAAGCATACTCAACACCACAAATATCGTCAACACCACAAATATCGTCAACGCCGTCATACTCTTACCCAAGCAGCTCAGCTGTTGCCAGTTACGACTGGAGCGCGTACTTTGGATAAATCCGATTTTTTTCACATCATATTTTTTCTAATTTAAAGTAACTTTTCTTTCAAAAAACGCCCCCAGAACAAATCGCGACATCTTTTCATTGCATTTTGAAATTTTCGCCCAATTCGCAAATTATTGTCTAGTTGAAAAAAAGAAAATTTGTCCCAATTTTTTCATTATCACTCGTTTGCATTATCATACATTTAGGATTTAGTACTTGAAAAAATAAAACTGAAAAGATATCGAAAGTCGCAACTAACCGGAAAAAAGATGACACATCTGCAAGAACCAAATGATTCAGATTTATGGGACAAATTGTAATTAAAATCTCATTAGTACGCGCGTTTATCATTCGGGTTATACATTACCCGTTCTTAAGTCAAGTATAGAAGAAAAATATCATATGAAAGGTATACGACGACGACGAAACTGTAGTCAAAGTGTAAGCTGAAAGCCGATAGTATTGATGCTGGTTCATCAAAATCGAACGAGAACAAACAAATAAGGGTTATTTAATACTGAAAAAGGGAATAATGTGGAATCGACTCGCTAACTTCAACTTGGAATGAAAAAAAAAAGAAAGAAGAAAGATTAGGCGGGAAGAATACCATATCCAGACATAGATTCTTCACTTCCACAAACACAAACACAAACACACATACAAGCACACACACACACACACACAACACACACACACAACACAAATCAAAATTGCCGCTAGCAAATATTTGTATCAAATATTTGTTTATCTAGAAAGTATTTTTTATTGAAATTTTTGTATGGATTGATATGCTGATAGAAGAAATATAAAAGCAATGAAAGCAAACAAAAAAAAAACAGTTTTATTCGTTTAGTTTTTATGGACCATCATCTGGAATTAGGAGGGTTGGAGTTCAATCATCATCGTCGTCATCATCAATGATGGATATTTTAGCTCTTTTCTTTTGTGGAGCCACTATAGGATCATCGTCATCACTCATCGTGGCCACTGCTTCTGGAACAGAACGCTCGCGTTTGTTTGAGTTAAACGTTTCTTCCCCTTCTTTTTCACTTTCATCATTATTTGTCGCCTTTCCTGAAACACCATTTCCTTTTGGAAGTGAAAAACCAAATTTAAAACCACACACGTTCGTGAAAAATAAACATCGATTAATGCCATATATACAGTGGAATTACCTGCCGCACTGTCCGATTCCGAATCACTATCTTCCAATTGAGCCAACCGTCTGCGAATGACTTGTGAATTAAATTCCTCTGAATCAAAAGCGGTGGTGGTATTTTGGCCGTCATTTGATGCCGATTCATCGTCTTGATCCATTTGCTCTGTGCCATCTTTTACCATATCGAATAAATTAATTCCACCTTTCGGCTTTTTTGCTTGGTTCGTCGGCTTAAGCGCTGGTCTCTGTTCCTCTTCATTGTCACTATCATTGTAAATGAGTTCATTTGCTCGTTGTAGACGATTCTGTCGGTCCTTTTCAATTTCCGTGAAACTTTCATCTTCGGAATCGGACACATACAATCGCTCAAAATCATCATCAGCATCGGCCGATTCGATGTTTTCGATTGGTTCACCGCCCAACAGTTTCGCTGCCAATCGCATTTCCTTCGCGGCCATATTCACTGGTATGCGCCAATATGTTTCCTGAAACGTGCATACATTTTTGGTCAACAAATTAGACTTAAAATTTCCAAATTGATTACATACCATTTCTTTAAGTGGTTCTTGCAATCCCAAACTTTGCAAAAGTTTTTTAAATTGTGGATTTTCCATCGCTTCTTTCTGTGTCATGGAAAATGGAACAAGCGGTACACCGTCGCTGGGATCCGATAAGTCATCGGTGTCGTCAGCATCTTCTGCGGCATCGTTCAACGATTCTTGCAACCAATCAAAATGCGTTTTAAGACTGTCATCGATTGCAGCGATTTGACTTTGTATTTCGATTACATTCAACATGATTTTGGGCAATTCTCGTGTCGGTTGTTGTTTCGGTTTTGATGCTTTCTCTTGTTTTTTCGTATTCATAATGGTGACTCTGACGGGGCGTGAATCATGTTCATCGTCCTCATCACTGTCACTGCTATCACTACCACTACCATCACCTTCTCCATTTGGTTGACTTTGACGTGATCTCTTCCGTTTGGTTGGCAATATTTCAGAACGTTCAGCAATCAAACCCAATTCAATCATACGCTTTATCGTTGCATTTTTCGAACGCTTATCAACGAACGTCTCCATAATTTTCGCCAAACAATCTACGATTTCGTATTAAAAGAGATTATGGACAAGTGCTATAAAATTATTTTTCGAATTTTATTGAAAAAAAAAACCGTACCATCTTCTAATCGATATGTATCATAAAGTTCTCTCAATAGAACATCTTCTTCATAGCGCCATAAATGCTTTGATACAGCTGCCGCAACTGATTTTCGAGTCGGTGCCTTGAATATCAGACCAAGTTCCTTCATCTTTTTGATGACGGCACGTCTAGTTCGGTGCTTGTCAATGAGATTATCCAGGATCCAATCGATGACATCTATTAGAGCAGATAAATAATAAATAATATCAATAAATGGAAAATCGCATCAGCTCTATCAATGGTAATAAATGGTCGCTTTATCATGTCACATTGACATGTGCCTTATACCTTTCTCCGTTGATGGATTATTTTGATTTTCCATAAACAATTGTCGTAGCTCGTCCTCCTGCTCTTCCGTCCAACCGATTTTCTTGTTATTTCTGCGACGACATAAAAATGTATCCCATATAAAATTGATTTTAATCATATACATAATATAAACCTAATGCACACTTACGCATTGGCATAGCGTGCGTCATCATATCCATATTCGATGTCATTGGCTTCTCTAACGCTCTTGTAAAAGAACAATTCCGCGTATACTTTTGGATTGGTTTTTGCGATTTCGGTGAAACAGCGCATTACATACACACCTAAACGGCGGATTTCATCGTGATGAACATCACGTGGCGCCCCAAATACTTGTTGAAATATTCGGAATAGTGAAACCTATCATCATAAAACAGACAAAAATAATCTCCTTTGAATCATATGACGTTTGCCATGAATTTTAAATATGTAATCGAAGTGGATTAAGTTAGAAAAAAACGTCTTTTCTCTCTCTCTCCCTCCCTCTCTCTCCCTCCCCCTCTCTCTCTCTCTCTCTCTCTCTCTCTCTCACTCTCCTAATAATTGATTTAAAATGTTTTTATGCGAAAATCGGTACCTGGAACAACATGATCGGAACCTTACAGCCAAAAGCAATGCGATGCAGTATGGTTACAGCGCTCTTGATTATACGAGCTGGTAATCGTTCCCAATCGGTTAGTACAACCGTACAGGCCTGTACGACTTTAGGATTGACAAGTCTGTTGGATTGATGATTTGAACAAATAAAAAAATATCTTGTTGTAAAAGGTCAAGGGCAGCTCATTTCTTACCTTTTCAAAAAATCATCGAAACGGAATTCGACTTCAGTATTTCTAGCATCTGAAATATTCATCAATATTACACTATCAAATCATTTAAATCAATTAATTATTTTATAATGGTAAAATAAAAATCATGCTTTTCAGAAATCATAGTATAAATTAATTTAACGGCACTACTTAATTCCTATTTAAATTTGCATTTTAAACTGAATATTCTTAGAAAGCGAATGGATTAAACGACAGAAACAAAAAAACGAAATAAGAATCACACATCGTCAAGCAAATTAAATGTGATTTTAGTTCAAATGAGGTCTATTCTTTCCGACTCTTCATTTTTATATTGTTCAATCGTCGTGATTATATTTAGCTAATTCGATTTATGAAGTAGCATGACCGGCAAATGAATTTGAATATGTTGAATATTTTACCTTCATTACCTTCATCGCTATCATCCTCGTCATTGTCGACATCAGAGCCGGCAGTTCCGTTTTCTGTGTTAGTTTTGTCATCATCCAGATTCTCGGTCCCTGAAAAAAGACACAAGTTAAAGCTATTTTGAGATTTTGTCGTTTTGAATTGGTCGCAATTTACTATTATTAAATTCCACAACAAGTTCACGCATCACAAAGTGATGCTTAAAATTTGCTATTCAGATAGCGTCTTGAAATCGTCCACCAAACACATCCACTTCTTTCTATCTCTCTCTCTCTGTCTCTTTTTCTCTCTTTCTTTCACTCCACCGCTGGAGTTGGATACTACAATGACTTAAGCAGGGCTTTCAAACTTGCTGCATCTAATCAACGCAGCTATAAAGAATACAAAACAAACAAAAGACTGATAAGCTGAAGGGAGATGAATCTTACAATCCCTATATGTTTCATATGTGCATTATTTTGATATTTCCTCCATCTGTTGCTAATGCCACGTTCATCATGCTTCTGCTGCTGCCGTTTTTTCTGTCTCTTTCGGTGAAAATGCGATTATGACACGTAGAATACTTTTCAGGCTCACGTGTGACCAAGCGTCATTTAGGTTTCCGGAGAATTTCTCCACCTCGATTACAATGTACGACTAAACGGCGAGTGATAGCATCCACATGCACACACAAACTCACGCTCGCATTTTTTTATGTGAGCTCTTTTATTGATGTTTTTTTTCTACTACTACTTTTTCCTAGCGCTTTATTTGAAAACGACGTTCCGCTGAAATATGTATGGAACAAGGCATGCAATATAATGAGGACGATATCTATGGGGAATAAAGGGAGGAAAATTCCAATATCCAACCTTGCCTCATATTTTGTATTCCATGCGTTATCCAACGATATACACTTATGTGTCAAACGTTTTATCAATCGGCATAATGGCATTTTGTGTGTGTTGACAATTCATTCAAAACGTCTTAGATTCCATTATACCTGATCAACGTCGGTTGGGTTTTTCGTTCGTCGTTTTCCTGTCCCTGTCATACTTAGAGAAAATATTACTTAGTACGGTGGTGCATTCAGGCTTGTTGAAGGGATTGTTACGACGCCAAAGCATATATGGTACAAATATGTAAAGTATAGCGGCATTTTCGTAAATGTGGTGACGGCAATTTTACGAGGAAAATTGTTCGTGTTTGCGGCCAAAAATTAACCAAATATGCCGAAAATTTTGAATAGACAAATAGGCATGCTACATACAATTGAATTTATGCCATGAGTAACCCTTCGATTTTCGGCTTACTTCTGCCTAACATCCAACAATATATGGCTATAATTTGCGCATGTGCTTTTTCTCTATAAGACATTCAAAAGCATTAAAACGAAACACACCGCTTTTCACAAGAAAACACTCTCCCTACTTTACAAACAATGCGTTCTACAAGTGGCAAAACATAATAGAAATCGCAGACCGTAAGAACAATGCGATCTGCTATCTGATGGTTTTCTCTTAACCAAAATGACATACTGCTACATATATCTCGCTTTTTCGGGTTGTACGAGAAAAACGGAAGGCTGTTTCATCGCAAAAACACAATCTATGTATTATATATCGTGATTTGATGAAGTTTCGTTAAGAACTTACATACGAACTGATGCTACATTATTTTAAGTTTTCAATTTCATTTTATTATTGCTTGGGAAATGCCAAAATAAATCTCGGTGTGATTAGCTAGCTCAAGTGAAGTAATTATGGTGTAAAAGAATTTCCATGAAATTGCTAGGACAAATGTTAAGCTCCCTAAAATGAATAGGCATTCCATTTTAACTACCGCGCGACTTGTGCGTTTCTCTATCTATTGTACTATTTTATAGCGCCCAGAGTCAACATAAAAAATAAGTACACACACATTTATGTATAAAAAAAAAAACGGGAGAGGAAGCAAAGAAGAAGATGGAAAAAAATGACAAAACATCATCCAGTGTGACATGCAGAGGCTGGAGTTATGCGACACGCGAATTTCATTCATAGAATAAGTAATGAGAACGAGAAAATCGAAGAAATATACCAGTACGATGTGCAGAGCGAAAATCCTCCGAATGACTATTTTGGGGTGGCTGACGGAATGTATGAAACGGAGCGATAAGAAATGCGAACAAAAGAGTTCAACTATTGCAATAAAATAAACATGAATATGCAGCGTTGACACGATACGGAGAAAATAAGCATCGTATTTGTATCGAAAGTTGATGGACCGAGAGCAAGAGACCGACAAAGCGTTAGAGAAAAAAAGAAAGAAAGAAGAAGGCACCAAACAACTGTATTTTTTTTTTTCATCAACTTATAACACAAATGTATTGACTGAGACGCATTGCTTTTGGGAATCTGGGATCTAGGAAATGTTGGAAAAACGATATTTGATGGCCATCTATCAAAAAAGGAAAATGCAATGAAAATCATAAGACCATGCAGAAGTGCGCATGTCACTTCCATCTCTCGTAATATTCTTCTCAGCTCGCTCTCTAGTCTCTCTCACTCGCTCTTGCTCGCACACGGTTCCCATGTACAGATTTTCCAACATGATGAGATTGTGGCTAGATGCGAAATGTCATTGTACTGTTTGGGTATAGTATAGATAGCAACATGCTCATTAGGTTCTATTTTAAATGGTTTTCAGCTGAATACTACAACCGAATGGAGCGGCGTACCAATTCGGTAGAGAATTCCCAGTCTTAACTTGGATGCTAACTTGTGTGGACACGGAATATCGTTGTGCGTCGCAATTTCATAACATTTCACTCTCTCAATTATGTTTATCTATCTCCAGTAATATTTGGAGTTCAATATTTTGGTTGTTGCCGAAAAATGCCAAACAAATGGATTGTAAAAAATGCCAGTTAATGTATTGAATTCAGTGTATGTGTGCTTGTGCGTGTGGTTCGATTAAAGAAACAAAAACTGAACGAATAAATGGATAAACTTTTGATTTTCACAGTCTGCAAACAAAAGAAAAGCCATTCAAAGTTAAATGGATGCTGTTGTGAAACGTCAACACGCGAAAAGTGTTATTAAACTGATTTGGTGATATTTTTTTTTTTGCTTCTTTTTTTCGTTTCGTTTCAACAAAAGACCGAGACACACATACACTATACACATACATGTATATACTGTAGAAAACAATATTCAAATGAATCGTACAAATGTCGCAAAAGATGAGCCGCTGTCACATTCAGTCGTTAATTAAATAAAGTAAACAAGTGAAGAAGTGCCGGAGCGATTGCAGGCAACAAAATCTACGTTGTGTTGAAATTACTCTGTGCTGTGTACGTGTATGTGCTGATGTATATATTTTGATACATGACAAAATATAATCTGGAAAATTTATCTACGGCGAGAAAACGAGCGAGCGAAAGGCTTGAGATATAAAACATGATTGTAAGTTGTTAAAGTAATATGACGTTTATATGCGCTTATGATGAAAATTCAAGTAATTCAGTGGAAAGAGGGCCCCGTGCAGATGTGACTCTGAAAATCTTGAATCCAAAACATTTAAAGTCAATTTTATTTCATACCGAAATCATATACTATTTAAAGTATTATATCAACCCCCATAGTTTTCACCACACAATCAAGAAAACTTTCGGAGTTTTGATTGTAGTTTTGTGTAGTTTCCTCATGATTTAATTTCATCCTCTGGCTATATTTATACCTGTGTGTCGTCGTTTTTTTTGTCTCCCTCTCTCTTTTCTCTTTCTGCCTCATTTTAATTTCCCGCATGTACGAACAATTAATATAATCAGTCACATAGAAAACTCACGATAGTGTTGTGTGTTGGGTTAACCACATTCCACTTTATCCCTAGAACTATTCCGCTCCGACTTTTTTTGTTCGCATTTTATTTTTAAATACATTTTTTAATATTCACATGTTTTTCACTCGCTTTCTTTCTTTCTCTCTTTTTTTTCCAGCAAACAATAATGATGATACAGAATAATAAAAGCTAAATTTAAAGCGAACGACAATAGATTGTTGACAATCAGTGATGTCGAATTTAATAAAATCGTACAATCCACAATGCATAAAAAAATAATATAAAAAAATATCAATCACAGAGCAAACGAATCGAAGAAAATAAAACCTCCGGAGACTGGGATAGTTGGCGTTGCAAGAAAAGACAGCTTAAATCTTATTGGGTTGTTGGAACTAATCTTCAGTCATGAGAAATAATAGTACATAAAAAATAAATAATTCATATGAGCTCACCACGACGTCGGAGCGTTTGAATTTTGGACTCAAAGAAGAAGAAGAAGAAGAAGTAAAATTGAAACCAGCACATTGAATATGTTTCAACTTGTTGCACTTGTGAGAGATTCTAATGCGATGTGATACAATGAAGACCTAAATCGAACTGCTTGAATGTACAATAATTCCTTCGTTTATGTTTAAGCCTAAAATACGATCATGAGCCTGTTTCAATGTTCCAAGTGCTTAATGCGTATCGATATTTTCATATTATTCATACTGACACTGTCAAGTTTAATAATTCGACTCAATGCATTCAGCAATGAAACACCACCACAGACTGGGCACAATGAACAAATGTCCACACAACCCAATCACAACAGCAACAGCAACAGCAACGGCAACGGCAACAGCAACATCAACAATAATAACAACTATAGATTTAGAAGCATTAGACAGGTTTTATACCACACTCCATACATTCATCAAAATGAGACATTTCGATGGCACAAAATCAATAGCAGTACATTCAAGTATCGTGTTAAGCGAAAAACGAAATCAAATGTAGCTAAAACATCGCAATCAAGTGGACAGATAGCATCATCGCCATCATCATTATCATCATCATCATCAGCAGCAGCATTGTCGCAAGCAACAAAAGATGATCCAAACAATAGTACAAATATAATAGATTTTTCACATAACAAGCAAATTCATGAAATCCTTAGTTTTGTAGATTTGAAAATGTTGCTGAACCAAAGGTCGATAAATAATGTCAGTGATATTTTAGTATTAAATTTATCGGAGAATGTCATCAAGCAAATAGACGAAAATGTACTGAAATCACTTGAAAATGTGCGACGTATAGATCTATCGCACAATCAAATCGACGTACTAAATGTGAGCGCGCCGAATAATAAAATCGAATGGTTAAGCGTATCGGAGAACCAGTTAGTTTCGTTTAATGGGCAAAATCTGACAATTTTAAAGTTTTTGGACTTGTCATGCAACCATGTAGAAAACTCATCACAAATTCGACTAAACGAATTAAATGAACTGGAGTATGTGAATCTATCTGGCAATCAACTGAATATAATCCGACCGAATGTGTTTGAGAAATCGATAAAACTAAAAGTAGTCAATTTGTCCTATAATCGCTTGAAAAGCATAAACACCAATACTTTCTGGGATTTAGTCAATATCGAGGGTCTTGACTTGTCATTTAATCAGATATCGTACATAGAAAATGATAGTTTTTCGCATCTAACGAAATTACAGCAGCTCGATCTATCGCAAAATTACATTGACGCAACATCATTGCGCGCCATTCAACAAATACCAAACTTGATTAAATTATCTATTGCGTTCAACACACAACTCGGTGACGCATTGCAAGGGTTCATTTCGTCGTGGAGCCTCAAAGAAATTGATATGAGCGGTACTGGTCTATGCGAAATACCAAATGCGCTAGCACAATCCGTTCACACGCTCAACATATCTAACAATAATTTTGCGGTAATTAAACTATTTCATTATTTCTCTCGAAACTAAATAGCCTTTTCTCTCCCTCTCACTCTCACCCATTCACTCACTCTTTCTATTTATGTATCTTACAACTAAATAACCACATATATTTCGGAATAATACCGTCGATATAATCGATAATTTTCGAATACAAAATGAGGCCCCAATATTTAACCAGAAGATTATCTTGGTTCATTGCTAATTTCTTCCCATATTCTCTCCCTTTAGGTCATTCGGTGCGGTGATTTGGATAGCTATCCACTGCTTCAGCATTTAGATGTTTCTTCGTGTCAAATTGTCGATGTTGAGGATGATGCACTCGGTCGTTTGGACCTTTTGGCATCGCTTCATTTGAATAACAACAACATTACGCACGTACCATCCAGTCTTCCCGTGAACTTGATGAGATTATTTCTGCAAAACAATCGAATTGTCGAAATTCAAGCTTCCGCATTTTCACATCTCATCAATTTAGAAGTGATTAATTTGTCGGGCAATCAGATAACGTATTTACCAAGCTTACGTTTACCACGACTACTGATACTAGACTTGCGTGCGTCGCGTCTCAAACGATTAAGTCAATCGATTATCAAAATGTCACCAAAATTGAAAGTAGTCTTTCTGGATGGAAACCCAATAAAATGTACCGAATTACAGAGCATCGCTGAATGGGTAACACCCTGTCGCACCGATGATACCACTGACTTTGGCTATGCCGACGATGAACTTAACGTATCCCCGAACGATGAAGAGGAAAATGTATTGAACGAACTTAATGTTTGGCCAAAACAATGCAGATGCACAACATGTCGATCGTTAGAACGTTCGTTTCAGATAGATAAATCACAATGCAACAGCAAACATTTACCAAACATTGCCAAGCGAATGCGAAGCAACAATACATTACATGTGCCATCGAATACGGAGCAACACACCATTCCCAATGTGTCGAGCACACCAGATACAAAGAAGAAGAAACCACCGCCTGATGTTGATTCAAAGAAACGGTTTATCGCTAAGAAGATCTCGTCGAAAAACACACAAATTTACGAGAATAATGATCCGATACAGCATGGCAAATTATTGGATGGGAAAAAATTGGGACGAACGAATGACACAAGTTTACACATTGATCATGACATTCAATCGATCTTTTTAACTGGAAATAATGATAACATGTTGAAACACGTTTCACATTCGATCGAATCGCTCATTAGCACAGCCCAAACAACTACACAAACTGATTATCTCGACACATCAAAATTAACGACAGAAAGAGATGTCAAACTTCAGCAATTTAATGAAAACATCTTAACGAATGGCAATTCAAATGCGAACGACAATACTTTTCTGGATAAAGTGGTAAATGTAAATGTGATGGCACACAAAAGCAACAAAATAGCGGAAAATTCGGGTAACATGACGGTTGAAGTGTTGCATCCGAATCCAATAAAATTACGCGAACACAATCGGAATGGAACACGCTATGAAATGGAAACGACGGAGTCGCCACCGATGACGACGACGACGACGACGACAACGATGGCACCCGTTCGGTATGACAAATTAGAGAAATTGGTCGCAACCAATTCACTGACACCACGAACGGTTGCACAAACACATATCACGGAATTAATTCCTGAAGCAGCATCAGTGACAACAGTTGCTCCATCACGTGATTCCACAACAGAAAATTACATTGAAACATCGTCGACATCCAGTGATGACGGCAACATTGAGATAAATTATGAGCAAGAACAACTGAATCGACACCCTAAACACAATGATGACCATAAAGAGAACAAGTCCGAAGTAAATTGGAATATAAATAAAGCGATTAGTCGAACAAATGATACGGCAAGCTTAGTACAAGAGAAAAATCTTTTTTCGACAGTCAACGTTCATGGAGGAAGCCGTTTTACTGCCAACCACACGTTACGAGACAGTGTTCACATTAATGAAATCAATAAAAACCAACTGACGGAGAGAAATCAAATGGGCGATGGGATGCGTACAGCAAACGTTACAGTGTCACGTGAAATTTCGAAGGAAGAATCACATGAGCAAAATTACAGAAGAATTGCCGAAAAAGTTGTTGCAACGACGACGACTCAGAAAATCCCACACAGCCAATCTAGTGTGCGACCAAATAAAAGGATAGTTTATTCAAATTCTTCTGGCAAAAATGGCATGTTAATTAATGACAGTCATAACAATGACCATCAACATAAGAACAGTAACCATGGTATTAATGGAAATGCACCACCACCAACATTACCACTACCGCTGGTTCGCAAGAACCAAACAAAGGAAATTCAAATGCAATCGGAAAATTCCACTTCTATGCAAATGCCTGGGGAGAATGCACACGTTGAACGAGCAAAAATGTCCACGACCATTTCATCGCAACTATTAAAAGCAAATCAAGAGCTTGGTAATGATACGGGCAATGTCGCATCAACAAATATCACTGGGCATGCATTTAAAAAGGATAATTTCAGCTTGATAAAAGAAACGAGCAAAATGATAGGCAATCCGAATCCCAGCTCGAACCGTACACACAATGCCATTGATAGCGGAAATGGTCGGAATGTTAACACCAATGCTGATGGCTATAGCAATGAAAGTAATAATGAACAAAGGCAACAAATCAATAATACGGTTACATTTGCAACGGAAATGAACGGAAAAGAGAAACCATTAATTGGCAGTCTATCGCAAAATGTATCTATTATTGATAATGAGCACCAATTTGAAAGACACAACAACATCGACCGTTCAATGGACGACGAGCAAAAAACGAATGTCGAAATTGCGACAACAACGGCAGCAGCAGCAGCAGCAGCCACGGCAGCTATAACAACACTCCAATCAGCAAATGGCAATGTCCGAGCACACATTGAAGATCGATATGACAATAGAGAAGGTAGTAGCATCGGTAGCATTAGTGACAATAGTACAGTATATGCCGTATCGGAACAATGGCACGATAAGTGCGCAACATCTGGTCATTCAGGTTTATTTGTTATTATTAGCATTGGAATCGGTGCGCTTGTAACATTTTATTTCGTGTATGTGTATCGATGTAAAAAAGTGTACAATCGTCATTGCATCGAATCGATGGAACAGCATCGGCAAGCTCAAAATCTCCTTATTGGAATACAAATGGATACACTAAGCTCCAAAATACGATACACAGATACACCAATCGATTTGTGGTGACACATCAACTATTAGCATATAACATAGGGTTAAACCAATCGAAAGCATTTAATAAAAACAAAACAAAACGAAACACACATACAAAGCAGAACGAAAAAACAAAATCAAATGCACCATTCTCAATGGACACACATGAAATGAATTGAGCATTCAAGTAGTTGAGCTATTTCAACGGAAATTACAATCGCTGTATCTATCATCTAATGTATTTGAATTGAAAGAAAAAAATGAAAGGTAGTGTTCCTCGAAATGAAAAAAAAAAATAAAGTTGGAATCAAAGTATATTTTCTCAGATATATCAATGATTTAGCATAGAATTATTGAATTATTTCAGCGCTCATACTTGAGTCATTAGAGATAAAATATGAAGTAGAACAGAATGTAATTTTTGGAATTAACAAAATGAAGGAATTACCAGAATTGGTCCAATCATTACTATGATAGATGTATTAAAAAAAAAACAAACAAAGTGAACATTTTAATTAAAATGTAAAGAAAAAAAAACTAATTGGCAATAATTTTTGTTTAGTTTTGTGACAAATGTAAAATTTAGCGGTACTATAATATGAATCGATGAAGACATCTTCAAATATGTGTGTCTGGGTAGATGAGAGTTTGTTTAAAACGTTAAACTAATACCATGTATTCACATCGAGCATAATGTTAAGATTGGCTCAGCATTTTATGCATTAGTATATACCAAACTACAAGCTCACTAATATTGTAAGAAAATTTTCGAAATAAACAGTGCAGTAAGAATATATACAGAAAAAAAAAACGAAATGGACCACATTTGTTTCCTTTTCTATCCGCATTGAATGGAATTTAAATCATCATCAACATGAATACACAATAGCAGCATTTGCTCAGGGGCAACGATAATCAAATATAACTTTCCTTTGCATAGACTTTTGATTTAGTCAGTTTTAGTATATTTTTGTACACAATTGAACTTATATTAACGTCAAGAGTCAAGCGTTTTTTTATATTTCTCAAAGGCTTAAGCCTCGTCAAAAATGCAAGAATGCAAAGTATGTCAACAAACATTTATCACTTTCAAGTTCCGTATAATTCGCAACACTTATGTTGTAAATGGCACTTACCTGAATTTAAATTGGTCATAAAAATGTCCCGTAGAAGCAATAATTCGTCTTCTGGTTGTGAATTTTCCGACCCAAAACAATCGCTCTGTGGCCACACTTCCCTGTTTCAATGCAAAATTCAAATGGCTTTTATATTCGCTTCACGTGTATTGAACAATGAATATTTTGTATCAACATTATATATACCTGGCTGAGCGTAACAGCAGGACAGCGTGTTCGAATTTGCTTTGATGTAGGAAACCATGAATTCGGACCATACAATCGTCTCTGAAAAAAAAAAATGAAATTACAACCAAATGAATGATTATGGATGAAAAAAAATGCGTACATTAAATGTTCAAAGAAACGCAATTCAATGTGAAGTGCCAGGAATTAGTAATGAGTAAAAATTTCACCATTTTTACAAATAGTAAAATAAGTGGATTTGACAAAAAACCGAATTACTTTTGATCTTCCAACGGTTTCTCCGAAGCAGCATCAAACGGCAACGGATGATCTTCTTCCGGCAGTGTTGTTGAATCCGATGACAGCACAGCAGCCACTTCCGACGCAACGACTGCCCACTTATCCTCCGCATCCTGAAATTCATTTCAACCAAATGTTCATTACTCCTAAAGTGCATTTCGCGCATTAAGCACAATGAAATCTGCTTTGCATAATACTGCAACATAATTTTCTTCAGCAAATCGACTTACCTCGTTGTTGTCGTCATCATCATGGTTGTTTGGGGTGTTTCCATGTTGGTTCGCTGATTTTTGTGGTTTTTTCGCCTTTTTACCTTTTGCACGCGATTTCTTTTTGTCTTGCACAACCACATTTCCGTTACAGAATTTTTCCATCAACTTAAAAAAAATATGAGTCGTTTCCACCACATCTCGCATGTACGTTCTGTTGGTAATAATATTTGTAAGTGCATAATGCAGCATGGTACAGCATGGTACATTAAACTCTTTTTTTTTGTAAAGAAGAAGAAGGTGATGCACTTACTTTGTGTTACGATTTTCGTTATAGCTGGTCAATGTGTGCAGCACCGTTTCGCGGAACTCAAGCACGTAGCAAACATTGTTTAGCAGAAGTTTGAAAAGAGCACGAGCATCTTCGCTCGTCATCGTTTGCAGTGTAACCAAATTTTTGAATAATTCTTTTAGCGTCTGCAAATCGAAAAAAAAGGAAACGTTCAATAATAAGTTGGTAAACACGCACTAATTCTTCGCGTACCTGTATAGCAATACTTAGACGTCTTTCCCACAGTTTTATATTCTGTTTGTCCGATGTCAGCATATCCAAATGATGTTGCACTCGTCCCAAAACCCAATGAAAATTCTGCGTGCTCAAAGCCTCGCTGCATATAGATAGAACGTAAGTATGATGCAACTAAATTTAATTGCACAAAAAAATGTAATATGAATCTCTACGAACCTAACCAACGGAATCTTGAATCCATTCAATCGATTGAATTCCAGGAAAAATCGAATGACCCATAGCAGGTACGAATCATCATTGCCAGTAGTGCCGCGGTCAAGTGTTCGTCGCACTTGTCGAACCATATTATTGAATGCCGATTGAAGCAATTCTATTGCAAATTGACGCAAAAACAATCTGAAAAATAATATATTCATGAGAATTTTCGGGGTCAAAGTGGAATTTTTTTTTTTTTCATTTCTTCTATTACCTGATTGAAAGTGCACTGCGTCGCTCGATGATTTGTTCATCTTTGGCCATTCGATGCGATTTTTTCTGCTTATTTTTGTCACGATCGAAATCCATGGCAACGGCTCGGTCTAATGGCTTATGACAAATGATGTCACGATCGGAAACTGATTTCATATTTTGCATGATGTATGTACCGCCAAATCTTGAATGTCGCCCGGTCGGTGGTTTCATTGCAACCTTTGCGCGCTCACGCTTTCGTGCTGCTATCAGATCCTGTTCATCGCGACTTTTTTCCGCTGCAGTCCGTTGCAATGAAACGTCGGCCAGTGATTCAGCCATTTGCTCGCGATACATCAGGCAAATGATTTCCATTGCGTGTAAGTGATATTGGTTTTCATATTCGGACCCAATGATATAAAGGATCAAATCCAGAATACCGGCTTCTTGAAGAGCCCACAAAACTTGATCATGTAAGCTGGCATCGTTGTCAGCTCGTCGTTCAACATCGGGATTGGAGGGAACATGAAGAACATTACGAATCAACACCAACACACGCTCGATCAATAAACCTTTTTCTTCTGTACGCTCGACCGAATCCTAATTGTAAAATGGAATTAAATTCGTATTCGAAATCTGATAAATCGTCTAGAGGTTTCTTACAATTTCCAACACTTTCTGGAACCGTTTACGTAGCGAAATCCAAACGGCTGGATTGGAGAAGGCCGTCTTGAACGATTGCAAAATTTCCAGCAGATGTAAAAAGTTCCGACGATTCGGTCCGTCTTTCGGCAGAGTCTCATTGTACAGAAGCAATGCGGGTGTGGTGAGATTGACTAACAGCCGAAGTAATGCGTCAGATGTTTCATTTTCTTCTGTTTGAGCCGTGAGCATTGGTATTAAATCCGTTTGTAGTACTTTACCATGGCCCATGTGTCGTCGGTATTCATGTGTATCACCGTCACGACGCAATACCCAAATCAAATGCTGAAAATGAAATGCTTTAGATGCCAGAATAACAAGAGTTGGAGAAAAAAATATGCAAACCTTCAGTCCATGCAGAGCATTTGGTTCCGGAACATATGTTTTACCATCATAATAACCTAACGATGCACAAGTTGCATCTATATCCGCCAGCATAATCGACATGATGCCGATTTGTTTCAATGATTTCGATCGATGGAAAAAATTCGAATGTGTCCAATTTATTATTTCACTATTTTCTTTTTGTTCGACAATCAGTGCTATCGTTTATTTTACATATTTTTGATATTACCGCTCAAAGTCGATTACTTTTGTTTATTTAAGATATGCAAATAAAACCACTACTTAAATACTAGGCTTAATTTAAGTTTGTCTTCAGAAAACACAATACATAGAACTTGATTAAAAAAAAAATTGTTCATTCGACAAAATACAAATATGTTGAAATGTTTACTCTTTTCAAACGTGTAGTTTGTCGGTCCAAATTGTTGACAATGACAGTTCCCTTCGCGCCAAAACCAAACATTGACACACACGCCCCAGTGAACATCAATTGAACAAGATCATCTGATGAAATACTTCGTTTTCTTTTTATTCGATAAATTTATATAAAATATGTTGATTTTGATACTTCAAAAAACCAATGAGTAAAGTAATTCCTAATTTTATGTATGAAAAATAATTTTGAAGAGTTTAAAATGCATAAGAGTTCGTCTACAAAACTACTTGGGTTCGAGATGCATACTTGCACAAATTGCCTAACCACGGGCGTATCGTGGTGTTGACTATTTTGATCTAGTTGTGACATTTCTACACGTTTTGGGCAAATAAAATGTGTGTTTTTTTTAGTTTTTTATTCACTAATTCACTATTCACAGAAAAACAAATTGAAGCGATTTCAAGTCCAACGCGGATATTATAATATAAAAAAAGTACATTTCAAATGTGTTTGAAACACATGTTCAAAAGTTGCAGCAAAATGTATAAGTTCAAGTTGTTTTCTTGTGTGAAGCTTTGGATTCTCGTGAAAAGCATTCGTGCTCGAGTTAATTCCAGTTAATTGTACATATGCAATTTTTAAAGGAAATAAAACGATTGAGAACAATGACAAAGTTAAATTCGTGCATCATGTGCTTTATTGAACTCTCTGAAACTGAACTGCAGTAAATGTGCAT